AATAAATCAGCTAAGGCCAATTATTAAAAAACTACTAAAAAAACTTTTGGCGAAAGGAAAATGTTTTTAAATCAGAAAATTAGAAACGTAGGTATACTAAAATTGACATTTACTCGGCCATAAGATATGTGCCTATGTATTCGCTTGTAGAGTGGAAACTTTTAGGTTAACTCATAAAATTACTGGTTATGACATAGGTTAGCGAAGCTAAAGCAGGGCAAATGACTCAATAAAAAAAAACAGTTCAACGTTTAAGAATAAAATGGAATAAAGGCACCCGTGAACCTACTGACACTGAATGATTTGTTAATTCCAGCAGAGTACTGCTGGACAACTTTAGATGGCAAAGGTTTTTTAATTCATGATTGTTTTGATATAGATCGCCATAAACCAAGAATTATAATATATTCAACTGAAGAAAACTTAAATTTAATTGCTAATTGTGACCATTGATATGTCAATGGAACTTTTTCAAGTTGTCCAAAATTATTTTATCAACTCTAAACTATTCGTGACAAACAATACAGCAATGTTTTACTTTCTATAAACCCTCGTCTCCCAAACAAATGTGTCGTAGATCCATTTATTACATCACGAATATCCGGTTAAAAAAATAGTTTGGGGCTCATAAAAAAAAGGTTTCAGCCATTACCTAGACGCTGGAGTGTTTTCCTACATTTTGATTTTGAACTCTTTTATATACATATGAATATAAAATCGTCTAGGAGAATGATCTATTTGATTTTTAATCAAAAAGTATGCCATATGTTAGTTGCATGTATCTTATCAAAAATGGTATCGGCGCAATATGAATATTCTACACCATAGTGAACAATTATGTAGATTGCAGCCTGTTATATATAACGTTGTCATATAAAAAATGTATTATCCTTGTGTGTGTTACACGTAGTCCGAAATAAGGATATAAGGAAAGTCAAATTTTTTTTTTCGATTAAGTAAATCGATTAAAGCCAGATATTTTAAAACTACTAATAAAAACGTTTGACCTGAATACATAATTAAGACTATACTATCATCGTAAAACCTACTACCACGATTGTGACAAGACTCAACAGCCTGCAATACATACGTACAGGGCTACAGGGTTGTTACAATATAACAACAAACTGAAACGTATCTCTGTAAAAATGAGTTTATTATATTATAAGGTTATTTACGCTATTTACAACTTATTTATAAGATAATTTACAAACCTGTAAAAATGAGAAACAACATTCAATGTTTATTGATCACAATCTTGTCTCTCACAGATTACAAATTAATTTTAACAAACTATTTTAACTTTTAATATTGCTCCAAACCTGATAACAACTGGCTAATCAGCTTAGTCACCTTCTCCTATCACATTATGTTTTATCAGTAGTCTACCTTATCAACTAACGCGGTAGAATTTAAATACTTAAGAAGTATACTTCTTATATAAATATAAAAATAAAACAGTAAAATAACCGGATATAGAAATATTTATGTGCCCTAAAATTAATTGCAGTATTATGAATACGAATTAAATCAGGTTTTTTTTAAACGAAAATTACAACTTTTATATAAATATTTATTTATTTTAATTTTATTTTTAATTGAGTTAAATTAATTATATTTTTAATTAAAATAAGTATTGACTATAATTTTTTTTTTATATTTGGTACATAGAATATATTATTAAGTGTAGTTATCGATCAGTATTTTATTTTAACTTTATTATTATTTGTTGACAATGGTTATGTACTAATTGCAAGTGTAAACGTACATAATTAAGACTATACTATCATCATATATCGCAAGGAGATTATCTAAAGGCAATAATTATATAATTATCAGGACTTATCCATGTATTGCTGTATCTGCATGAAGGGTAGATACTCTTTAAGTTTTTTTTTTTGTATATAAAACAGTCTAAGAATGAACATAAACTACTACTATTTGAGAAAAATTGTAGTTCTCGTCGATAAATCGGGCTTAGAGTAATCCTAGGGCCCCAAAACGTTTTCTATTTTACGTTTATGTTCAGTAAAAGACGCACACAAATTTAAAAGAAATACTTTCAAATACAAACACTGACAATACAAATAGAAAAATGATGGCCCACTTTTTACGTTCGACGCTTAAGTTCCTATTAAAACCTATAAAACCATTTAGTTTTACACAGATTTTTAAGAAGAACACTCGTATAATATATTACCAAGTAAGCATATTTTTACACTTTCAATACAATATCGCTAAAGTTAAATTCTTTCATACTTTATTGTTTGACGAACTAACCAATCCGTTAGTAAGTTATCATTACAACTTATCCTAAACACCACTTTTATATTTTATCCCACCAACTTTCTTTTGTTTAGTTTTATGTTTCTATTACCGATGGTGCTAAACTCTTACCGAGTAAAAAAATTAATTAAAAACTTGAAACGAGTTTTGATTATTTTTCAAAAAAATTTACGAATAAAAATGTCTTTATTATTTACTTATCTTCAAAAAAATAACCATACATTCAATGAAATGAATAAATCATAACAATTCGTTTAAAATGATTATAATTATTTTGTTCATACTGAAGAATCACACCAAAAAATAGCAATAATAATGAATTATATATTGTACTAAATTCGCCCACACATGTAATAAATTTGTCCATAACACCCAATTATTTATCAATACTGTCGTGGTCTTCGAACAGCCACATTGCCGCAGTAGAAATTCTAAAACACTACAGCCAGACGCAGTGTTAAAAATAAATGTTTTTTTAAAGTTATCGTTGTGGTATGGTTTTCAGCCAGCCACAGCCGTAGCGAAATTTGTAACACTGTCGTGACCTATGAACATGTCACATCGCCGCAGAGATGAACCGACAATTTTTCAAATATTGTAGTGGTCAGGCCTTACCACAACAATACAATTTCTATGTCCTTTAATCGTCGCAGCCCTTGAAACAGCTGCATTGCCGCGATTCGTTTGTCAAATAAGTACCCAAAAGTCATCAAAATCGATTTCTCATTGCAAAATCTCTCATTATATAGGCAGTACTTACAATTCATTACAAAAAAAAAAACACTTTTGGCGTTGCCATTGCGAAGCTCCACTAAGAATTCTTCGAGAAACATTAACACTGATACTATTTTTAGGCAATATTTTTCTGTCATCACGAATAAAAACACTTTTGGCTCAGCCATTGCGAAGCTCCACAAAACATTACTTATTAAAAATTACAACTTTAAAAAAATTACTATTTCAAGGTTATATTAATTGTCTTTTAGGTATCTGCTCAAAAATGATCTCGATAAATAATAAGACAAAATTTTTTAAAAATCCCTTTGCCTTACAAACCTCTTAAAATATCCAAATTTTTCACAATCTTAAATACTTAATAGCTATATAAATTCAGAAAATATTTTAGCGATGCCCGAATCAAATCTATGTCCAAACTTTTTACAAATACAAACTCTTAAAAATTATATCGATTTAAAAAATATTCTTTGGCTTCGTCCGAATTGAATCTATGTCCGAAATTTTCACAAATGTCTATACTAAAAAAAAGGATTGGATTTAAAAAAAAAAATTTCCAAATTTTTACAATTACTTTATAATTAAACGATTTTGAATACAATTTTTGACTAAGTTACTATTAACTAATATATTACACGTAAGCATATTTTTACACTTATAGAAAATGTAAAGAACATTATCGATAAAGTTAAATACTATTATATTAAGTTGTTTTACAAACGTAAAACGGCTGCACAATATGTTAATAGTGATTATTAATAGTTAATAGTGAAGTGATATGTAATATTTTAGCAACAGCTCCTCAGACTGTTCTTTTACGAGAAACTGCAATTTTTTTAATTTAGTAACCTAAATAATTAATTTAAGTAGCCGTTACGAAGAACTTGAATATCTAAACAGAATTAAAATGAGACCATCCTATGTTGTCGATATTTTTTGATAAACCAAATAAACCAAAATGGTATTTACTGATATAAATTTTTTTTTAAATAAAAAAATCATACTTTGAAGCTTATACAAACAATTTGGTAATGTAATAGGGATAGTCAAAATTAATTAAAACCTCTTTTTTCAAAAATATTGTCTATATAAAACCTAACCGCATGCAACCTAATCCCATTAGAGCACAGAGTTACAGGGTATTTGAACGGTGTCTACCTTCCTGTTTATCCTTTTTTCCAAAAAAACGCTATTTAAGCTACTAAACTATAAAAATGTTAAATAGTTTTACAATATAAAGCTAGGTAAAATTTGTTTGTTAAATATGTAAAAATATAACAAAATACCAAAAAGATAAGACTATTTTAGATTTCGGATTTGTTGAAATCCGAAAGCATTATATAGGCAAAGTTAAAAGTTTTTTTTAAACATTTTTATCAACACATTTTACTTAGGTACACATCTTTATATTGTAATAGTATTTAATATTTAAGTTTAATATCAATAAGTTTTTCAAGAGGCTTAAATAGCGTTTTTTTTAATTTTTGGATTCCCATTACTAATATATATTTGTACAGAGTGGCCCACAATGATTTGACAAATGAAATAACTTTTGTTCTAGTGAATATTTTTGATATATTTTTTTTTTTAATGATTTATACTCATTTGCGCTAAAAAAATAATTTATAGTTTATTCTCGTTTGCGCTATAAGCACCGCGGTTTTTATTTCACTTACCTGTTTTACTTTTTTAATTATTTTTTTATTCTTTTTTATTACATTTTTTTATTTTTTTTTCAAGATTTTTTACCGAGTCAAGTTTTCTTGAAAAAAATTTAAAAATGCAATAAAAAAATTAAAAAAAAGTAAAACAGGTAAGTGCAATAAAAACCACGGTGCTTATGGCGCAAACGAGGATAAACTATAAATTATTTTGAAAAACAAAATCTCAAAAATATTCACTAGAACAAAAGTTATTACATTTGTCAAATCATTGTGGGCCACCTTGTAAATATTTTGAATAAAAAATGTTTTACACAGAATAAAGAAATCGATACAATGTTGAAATTACTGTGTACAGTAGCATTACTTTTCGTAGCGGTGAAAGCCAACGATGAAAAGACTATTCCGTATGCGTTTTTCGGATCTAGAACTACTTACAAGACAGTTTCATCATTGCATATTGATGTACCAGCTGGTAAGACGTATTTTATTTGTTCTTTTTGAGTACTTGACTTTTTTTTTTTCATTTAAAGTGCATGTGCTTATATTCGCTTTTTTTTTTTTGTCTGTATCCATATATCTGAATAGTATAGAACCAATATTTTCTTCGAGACGTAACCTATATAAATCACAAATTATATATAGTTGGTAGTGTAATGGTGGTGCGGGTGGGGGGGGGGGTATAAAAGTGGAAAAAATACTCTCTTTTAAGCTTAAAATTGAGGAAATCCATACGATTTTTCCTATTCGACTTTGACGTGTTATTATTTCCAGAAAAATAGTCGGATCGAGTTGAAGTTTAAAAGGTATATTGTTTTGACATGCCCCTGCGTGACAAAAGATTGAGATCTAAAATAATTATCATATCACATACAAGACAGTTTCAACATTGAAAATTGATGTACCTGATGGTATGACGTAAGGCATTATCAGCTATCCTTATAGATGTGTTTATATCGACGCCCCGTACGAACAGTTGCACCGTTCTAGTTCTAGCGAAAACTAACACCGTTCGAGGCTTTTACAAAAACTAGCACTGTTGGCGATGAACCTGCGAAAAGTAGCACCGTTCGCAAATTTCTTACGAAACCTAGCACCGTATGCAACAATGCAAAACAATAGCCCATGGTGCTAGTCTTCGTAAGATCTCGCGAACGGTGCTACATTTCGTACGAGACGTCGATATACGCTTTTTTGTGTCTTTCTAATATACTATGAATCATTCTAGCTCATTCTTTAAAGCTTACACTAATAATCTCACTCAAAGTCATTATAGTTACGACATTGTGTTATTGCGCCTAAATTTTTTTTGTTTTAATTTAAATTTTATTATACAATCTGTTGCAATTTGATCAATTCTATGTTAAACATTTGAAATGTTCAACTTATGAATTTGGTTAAATAATTAAAGAGATCTCTTACACAATTTTTTTTTTTTTTGGGCGACGAGAAATGTGTTTTTTGTTGTAATTATAAGTTATAGATTTTTTTGATTAGGAATTTTGAAATTGAATCGTAGGTAGGATAGTTTTGCTCGGTTGGCTATTATAAGGATGTCGGGATCAGAGTGGATAGTTTTGTTGGAGAGATATGGAGATTTGGATTTGGAAATGTTTGGTTTTTTTTAGAGCTAAGCCGACTGAATTGAGTGAAAAGTTGCACGAGATAATTTTAATGTTAAAAAGAGTTTCTGTTAAAAAAGAAGATTAAATAGTTGCGGGTATCTGCAGTTAAGTGATTTCATTACATTTTAACATACGATCCCAACGTTAAATGTTTACCATTTGTATTTCCTAAGTATTAAAGTGTCGGTGGTTGGTAAATTGATTCTATTTAATAATACTAGAAGACTAGTATTTGGACGAAGAGAAAATGCAGATTTAGATTAGTTAACTTTAATTCTCTAAAATTCTTACCATTTATCTAGTAAGTTAACACGTTGCTGTAGTTCATTCGAATTGTTTAAATGGTTTTCGGTTAATGCTTTAAGAACATTATCTTCAGTGAAATAAGCTTGTACAGTTTTTTCGTATAGATAAGCTGTACATGGGCTCCCAAATACAAACAAACGTTTGGAGCTCCCACTCAGATTCTTTTAAAAATTGCACTAAATGTCTGGTACGATGAAAAGATTGTTCGCAAAGAATGTTCGCGATTTTTTTTCTCGATTATTTTTGCCATGATCACAAAAATAACTTTTTAATTTTTTTTCTTGACACTGCTATTTTATAGTATCTTCGGCCATCAAATTTTATTTAAAAAAAACAGTTCCTTATGTTAAATCATCTCATGTTTTTTGGTGTTCCTTGTGGGACTCTTGCAATTAAATTTTTTAGGCCGGAAAAAGTCGATCTGATTTTAAATTAGAATTGGTGTTCAGATATAAAATATTGAAATAATAATAAATGTATAATGGTAGAGGGTAAATTTTTTTTTCTATAGAAGGCAAATATAATTTACGCTAATGTTGTTTTGTAGGTTATACACCACGTCAAATTTTTATGTTAACGAGGCATGGCACGAGAAGCCCAAAGATTGGTCTATCTCAGGATTTGCTACCAAAACTGATAAAATATCAAACTAAAATTACCGAAAGCGCTAAAATGTGTGAAAAAGATATTAAAGCCATAAAAAATTGGGTAACTACCATCGACAGTACTAAAAACAGACAATTAATACAAAAAGGCCGCGATGAAATGAAAGAACTGGCAATAAGAGTTCGAGAAGCTTTTCCAAATCTATTCGAACGGCAATACGACTCTAAAATTTATGAAGTATATCGCATGGTTTCCTGATTAAATAGATGTATTATACAAAAAGTTGTCCAAATTTCATGTTACAGTAAAATAAATTATATGCAAGCTAAAAAAAAATCAATTTTTATAGACCCTAATCGAGTTTAATATATTGTAAAATGTAACATTCAAATTAGCAGCAAGTATTTATCTAAAACTGTTTGTCACCAGCCAGGTAAATTTATTATAATCTTTTACTTTCAAAAAGTCACCTCTTAGAGTTAGCTTTTGAAGTAATATATATTTTTTTAATGGATATTAAATTTAATTATCAATCGTTTAATAAAATATGGATTTTATTGGAAACTTCATTAAGCTAAAACTTTTCATTTCATTGAAAAAATTACTATAACGTGAAATTGGAATAACCCTATAATACTATACCAATATTTTTAATTTTTTTTGAACATCTTAGGTTTTAACCTTGCCGTATCGACGGTGTAAACTTTCGGGTCAATCATTTATACAAAACGTTTTTAAAGATGAAACTATCCCCGAAATTCCTAAATGTGACTATACGGATATCCTTTTAGTGGTAAATTTGAAAAGTAAACGAACTTTTTTAAAATAAGTGTAGGTAAATCTTATATTAATTCTATACAGTTAGACGGTATGATGGAAGCCGATACAAAATTTGAAGAGATCCGAAAATATTATCAAAATCAAACAAAAGAGTTCGAGACAGGCACTCATATGACTGGCGTCGTGCAAAGAGTTGCGGCTAAATTAGGTATAGATTCTAAAGAACTTGACCCTGGTAAGCAAACTAATAGCCAAAAGCAACACAGTTTTAATCATTTAATACTATTTTGTTTTTTAGAGACCATAACCACCATGTACGAGGTGAGTGCCTACGAATATGCTATTGACGAAAGTAGGATTCCGCCTTGGTACAACGTATTCTGTCAAGAAGACCTTGAAGTAAGCAAATATACATGTAAAACAAGAGATTTTAATGAACTGCATTTGATAGTTTTTGAAATGGTTTTAGATTTTAGAGTACGCTTGGGACCTTTATTGGTACTATGTTATTGGTTATGGAAATCCTCATAACGCAAAACTAGCTTGCCCAATGGCCATACGTCTCGAAGAAAGGCTTAGGTATTATGAATTTTCTACACTATTTATGTTACGGTGGTGAATTTCTAGTTTTTTTTCTGGGAGATTAATTTTCTCTTTAAAGCCCTGCGTGTTTTTTATAAGTAAAATGTATATACTGTAATTTTTGAAAATTCTGAAGAGCATTATTATCTTATTGCAAATATGGCCTTAAGCAATTATTGCCACTAATTTCATCTATACATTCATTTTTAAATGTTAAGAAGGCTTGTGATATTAATTTATAGTTGATCAAACTTATTTTCAAAATCTAGTTTGTATGATTTCAAGGGGAAACCAAAAATAAACACTACTCTAAAATATAATAATGAAATTAGTCGATGACGTGGTGCATAGGTCTGACGATAGAATGATTTCAGAAAAAAAACGAATGAAGAAGGACCAGATGCTGTATTCTACTTTGCATGCGAGAAAAACATAATGACTATGCTTTTCATATTAGGCTTAGGTGACGGTGACGCTCCATTTACGGCATCCAACTACAAAGGTATGAAGGACCTTAACTGGAGAACTTCGTTTTACGGTCCATGGGCTGCAAATTTTATGGCCGTACTTTTCGAAAAAGCTGATAACGATTATGAAGTAGCATTTTATTTCAACGAAAATTTAACTCCTATAACTTTAAAAGATGGTACAAAGTGTACATACTGTCCGTGGTTGAATATTCAAGAAAAGTTAACAGCTTTTATAACTGACAATGACTGTGTTAGTTTCATAGCCGAGTACAATAACAAAACAGCCTGACTGTTTTGTTGTGATCAGATTGAATTCAATAACTATTTTATATACTTTTAAGTATTTACAATGGTCTATTATAAACAAATTAGATTAATGATAAAAATAAGGACCATAAACATTGTCAAATTCCCAGATAAGCCATAAAAATGTATAAAGCAGATGGTTTATAGTTACCGCTGCGCGTTCTTTATTTTACCACTCAGCATTAAGTGTACAAGTTGTTGTTTTTTTTTTAATTTTAAAAAAACTATAAACATTGTAGAGAAAGGCAAGTGTATTAATAAAAGTTTGCTGTTATAAGTTTTAAGAGTTTATTAAATTTTGAATTTGAATGTTAAAAATGAATGTTTTTTTTTGTACTTTTATGTATATAAGGATATAAGTAACATTTTTAAAAAAAAATGTATTTTGCCAATATATGCAAATTATAGTATAACTAATGGGTTTTTTTTATACAAAAAATAGATCATAAATAATCGGCGACGAAATAAATAAAATAAAAGCTAGTGATAAATTTTTCCAAAAAATTTTTCCATGAAAAATAGACCAGTGGCTTAAAACGGTTTTTATTTTTTTAGCTGTAACTTTAATTGATAATGTTGGACGCCCTCTTAAAAGTATTTAGTGAATGCTCAGGGGGAACGAAAAACAAACACATAAATTGATATATACATGACAACGTTGTGGAAAATAACTATGCCTAATTAGAAATTTCCAGATGTGGGACAAACACTGGCAAAACTAGTTAATTTAATTATGAGTGATATTAACATACATAAAATACATTTTTCAATAAAATTATATAAATTGATGTATTTTAATATCTTAAGGTAAAGTAATATATATATATATATATATATATTATAATGTATTGCGAATACCAAATTTGTCACCTTTCCCCTCCACCTCTCCCTACTACCCCTAAATTAAAAACTTATAATTAATATAGATTCAGTGGCCTAACACACATATAAATTGATAAGTTAGGGGCCAAATTCAAAACTAAAGATAAATTTGGATTGATAGACTTAAAAATAGATAAAACGAACACAACAGCCAGGGACCGCAGCCGGCGGCGGTGGAAGGCGTGTCCCCACTATCGACGAGGCCCGCCCGGCGACCATTGGTCAAGATGAGCCGTTTCAACGGCAACGATGGTCACACGGATAAAGCGCGCGCAAATTTGAATTCTCTATGATAAAATGGATTTTCTCTCTTTAGGGATACCTATCAATTATTTCTATTTTAGCGTCAATGCGTTTTATTCGTATTTTATATGTATGCATAATAATGTATAATACGTATGGTATTAACCCAACTCGGAGTTTTTGGATCTAGAGTGGAATTGACCCCCAGCCATAAGAAATATCCATGACAACACGGTGTACATATTTTCTCAATTATCTGTGGTCAACCTTTTTTTTTTTTTATTAAGGAAATATAAATTTAAAAAAAAGGAAAAATTACACATTGACTGTGGTCAATTTCTAGAATGCTATGTGTGGTTGCATTAAGAGGTGATCCTTGGCATTTGGGATCCATCCCAGAAGGATCACCTACAACCACCGACCGACTTGTAGCACTCAACGCTAATTGCGGTCCGATGGAGTTTGGCCACAAAAAGAAGTGAACACAATCAATACCTTCTCGGCTATCGTATCGAAACTAAAAGTTACGTACTGGATAGTTATATCAAAAATTATACTAACAATAACTGTTATTTATTGTTCACCAATATGTAACAATATTGTATAGTATTCTGCGACAATTTAAAATTAAATTTAGGGAAAAGAGGCCAGGGTAAAACTTTTTTATCTCTGATGCATGATTGTAATACACATTTTGTTGAGGCCATGACGGTCTAGGCCAATAACAACAAACCTTACCAGCAACACAAATTATATCTTCTATTTTCCAACTATACACCTATTAGGCTATGTTTAATATACCCATTAACATACTTATATGTTTAACGTATAAAAAGGCCTAGTTTATTTAATATTATATATTTTATTCCTGGTCTTTTTTTTTTAGGGGGTTAAATTTCCTGTAGTTAATTTTTTTCAGGAACCAAATCATTATTCATCATTGGAGGCATTCATTTCACATACCAAAAAACCATTCTGAATATTCATAAAAAAAAAGTTGATGTGTTCCTTTGTAACGCGAACACAGTGTTGTTTTATGTTTGTGTAGATTATGCAGGTGAACACCTGTTTTAACATCAGTTTTGCGCTGTCATTGTGGATTTATTGTAGATACTGTTTTCTTAAGCAGTGCAATCGCACTGCTTAGTTAGAGCAGACCAATAGACAGAGTTTAATACTTTTAACTGATAATCTGTATAAAAAAAAAACTAATTTTTACCAAGACTATAGTTAAATTAATATGTAATACAAAGCTTTAAAAAATTACTATAGCCTATACATAGTATGTTTTAAAACGAGGTTGACACCGTTTTACATTTGAATACTAACAAATGAGCCCTAAAATTATGCACATAAGCCTTTTTCATAACTTTTTTTGGCTCTCTAAATTTAAGTTATTATAAATTAATGCGTTAGAATAATTTATGTACTGATTATTTTTCTGTAGTCTTTTTAGTAGACAATAATATAAATTGTATTCGCTAAATGACTTTTAATTATTTTCTTCTTATTATTTAAATGATTTGATATTACCACTGGATGTTGTAAGTCTAAGCAAACAATTATTAGATGTACAATATAAGTCAGTATGTACAATTATGAAACTAAACAATTAAACGATCAATTGAACGCATAATAAATCTAATTTTTTTCTCCGGACTTCTAATTTAAACGATTTGAAATTCGATAAAACTTAAATCTTTGTTTTTCTTACAGTCAGTAGGAACAATAATCAAACTGAACGAGTAAACGATTAATTTGTGTGAATCTATTGTGCATAATACACATCTATGTAACCTTTATATATACATTAATTATTTACTAAAAAAAAAAAAGAATACAAAAAATAAATCGAAATCTAATTTATTTTGACAATACAGTTATTGTGCCGATAGGTTTAATTAACAATAGGGTTACACGATTTTGTTTAAATTACACCAGTGTTCCATCTATTTTGAGGTATTAAATTTTATGTGATAATTAAAACCTATTCACGTTAACATAATAATAAAAATTATAAACTTCTTTTTTTGTTTTATTCTATATTATCGGCTGAAAGAAACGAATGAATGACTGCAAAATCGATATTGTCAAACAAACGAGATTCACTTAAGTAATGATAAAAACTTTCCAGGTGCATCAAATACAATTTGGTCTTAGATGGTAATTCTGTTCTGTCCGGACAAGGAATGATAGATAAATTGACATGCAGATTTTCTTCTAAGCAAAAGTTGTTCAATTTGTTGAAGAGTTCGGTGCGAGAAGCTTTGTTTAGCTTTAACGGTTCAAATCGTACAGGCCGTCCAAATGTATTGTTAATTCTTATCTCTTCTTTTTTAACAAATGCAATTAATGAGCTGCCCAACTCGTTGTCATTAATTTTAGTACATATCACACTTAAAACGCCATTAGGCATTGCAAAGAAACCTATAACACTGTTTAATAACCGCTTTAAAGTTCTTTTCATGTATTTGTATTTTTTTATTACAAATTGTCGTGCCATATGTTTGAGACACCTGCGTGTCATGCGCAAGACAATCAACGTAATGGTATCAAAAAACATGATTTGATAATCTTTAATCCATTTCATACTATATCTTGCTATTGCTGCAGCAGAGTTGCTGTGGGCATTTTCGAGTTTTTCCTGTAGTTTTGAGTGGACTATATCCATGTGAACGCCAACGTCGAATTTGGTTACTAAGCTATTTGTGAATTTACTGTCTAATACCACGTCGTTGAGATACAAACGGTCTACTGAGTACATTTCCTTATTCTCTATTGCAAATCCATAAATAGTATTTTCGTCCAGGAGCTCTTGGATGGCCTTGCAGTTCTCGACGACCAACTGTTCCACGAGGTCGAGGCATTTGAGTTCGTTTTCCGGACTTAGGCATTCAGCAAAATGATAAACTGTCGGATCCCTTCGTTCAAAGTTATTGTGTCCTTCGCACGACAAACGTCTTATTGAATTCATTAGTCTCCCAATGGCTTGTTCGTGAATATACAAAAGTTCTTTCTTCGTGTCTGGATTTACGGCCTTATTTAATGACTCGACGATGTTTTCTAACTTGTTTAGGTAGAAATTGACCAGCCAAAGTACATTTATAGACTTATCGCCGCTTTCGTGTAACGTACCGACCATGTACACAACGTGCTTTTTATAATTTGTAATAATATTAATTATTCGAGATTTCAACGGAAAACGAAACAAATTTTTGGTTAAATTAAAATGAACCAACGCGTTAAATGTGTATCCACATTTAAGCCGCCTTACCTTATCGTCCAACAATTCCCTTACGTCTTGTTCTCCATGACCTAATAGTTGATATTTTGTATACAAAGTTTCATCAGGATATCCTGTATTGATATTCTGCTTGATCATCATAATGTTTATTATTTCCGGGTAATAGAATGCGTTGCAATTATTTATAAGAACAATAATAATCAACGTAAATACAGTTACGCAGAGTTTGTTTGAAAACGTTTTATCCATATCCATTTGAGCAGTTGAACTTATTTGCATATACTTTATATTGTTGGTGTTATAATTTTTAATCTTAAGCAGACCTAGTTTTTGTATAGATGGATTCACTCACTGAAATTAAAATAGTTTATAGCGCGTAAATGGAAAAATCATTTTCCTCGTATTAAAACTACAAAAATGATTGCACCGTTTTAAAATAAAATACTAAAGATTTTTTGGTTCATTGGCTTGTTTGCTATGCTTAAGTATATATTTGAAACATCTGCAATAGGGTTTACGTTAAATTGTTAATGCATATTTCTACATATTATTATTTGACAAATGTTAATATTCAATACATGTTTATCATTATTTTCAAAAAAAAAAAATAGTTCTAAGAAGTAAATACTTACTGTATTAGTATAATAAAATGTAGTACTTGCAAGGGTACAAAAAAAATAAAATAAAACATTTAGCTCAATGTGACTGATTTTTATATTTTTGTCAAATCAAATTTTTAACATTAAAAACTCCGTAATTCCCAAGATTTTTCTTTTAAGCTGGACATTTTTGGAATGGCGTTAACCTAGTTTGATGTCAAACTAAATTGTACTTTCCACTTGGTTATCTAAAATTAATGTACTATATGGCAATCTATAACATAGAAAAAATTCCATAGTTGGTCCAACTAAAACTGTGGTTAATACAGGTGACACAATATATTTCTAGTTGGAATAACTAAAAAAATAGTTGGCCTGACAAACATTTAGTTGACCAAACTCAATGTATAGGTGCTTTAACGAAAAAAAAAATATTTGACCCAATTATTTATTTGGTTAGTCCGACTAGAAAGAGTATTGTCTATTTTAACGGGGAATCTTCTTTTTACGATAGAGTTTTAAATGAAATTTTTATTTCTTTTGCTTATATAATTTATAAATGATTTGATGTTACCTGAATAACTGTAACAAATAATCGCACGTCTAATAAAACAATTTACAGATATACCATAATAAAAGTCAGTAGGTATAATTAGGGTACACAATTGGGGTTAACATGTTAAACGTATGTTCTCACCGTATGGTGGAGTTGGCACTGACTACCAATGCACCTCTATTTAATTATTTACTAAAATTAAGAATACAAATAATAAAATCAAAATACAATATATCATTGCAATACAGTTATTGTGCTGTAAAGTGCAAAAAGGAATAAGCTTATAAGTTTTTCCTTAAGTGTATAGAACAGTGCTTCTCGCTGTTTTATTTTCAGATATGGTTTTTTTTTTGAGAGATTTATTAAATTTTCCTGTAATAATAAAATAATAATGGTTAAAATCGTAAAACGCGTTTAGTGTTGAAAACGTAGTTTGTCTTACTCTATAACAGAAGCTGAACGAAACGAATTTACATAAATATGAATAAAAAGTTTCCACTTGCATCAAACACAACTTGGTTTTAAATGGTACTTGGGTTTTGGAACGAAGAATGACAGATAAATGCAGATTTTCTTCTAAACCGAAATTGCCTAATTTACTGAAAAGTTCGATGCAAGAAGATTTTTTAAACTTTAACGGTTTGAACTGCATAATATGTCCATATTTTTATTTAATTATTCTTATCTCTTCTTTTTCAACCGATGTAATTAATTATCTACCCAGCTTATTTTTTATTAAAGCCTGACTCCACTGGGAATTGCAAGAAGAAATATAACTTTAGAAGCTATAACATTCTTAATACGTAAATATGATATGCTATAATACAATATGATGAATAAATCATAGATTATTCACAGATATGTGTTATTAATCACAGTAATAAACCAATTTAATAGACAAGATCTGACACAACATAAATATCTGAACTACCGTGTCAATTATACATGTGTTTTATTGTGTGAAGTTTTGTTTTTTAAATAAAGAAAAGTAGTAAGAAATGAGCTAAATTCGGTCATTTTTTTTATCTGAGTTACAATAATTAGGACCAGAAATTGTAATAACAACTTATTTATTAGTACTATAGTAATTGTTTTGTTTCATAACATTTTTCCTATACCGCACTATTATCGAAATTGTCAATAAATTGAATGTATTTAATAGTTAACAGTTTTAATCACGGTTATAAAAAATATTTGTTGCTCGTGCATTGTATTTACATGGTTATTTAATAATTTTTCGTTATATCCTCACCTCTTTTATCCAACTTAGATATACAACTAACCAAGCAAAAAAAATTATACAAGATTGTGCTGATCATAACGCTCCTATAGCATTTAACGGAAACCATTTAAACAACTCGAATGAACTACAGTAATAAGTTAACTTATTAGATAAACGGTATGAATCATGTAGAAATAAAGTTAACCTAGGTAGTAGATCCATTTTAAAAATAAGCTTGTATGATTCAACCATTATGGTTTCTAATTAATATTTATTATTGTTTAAAATGTGAATTATCGACTTAAAATTGTCTATTTATTTCAGCGAATAGGGCGAGACACTTATAAATAACTGGCAGTAATTGTGGCGCTGAAAATTGAAATTATGTGAACTAAAACACATGTAAGTCAGATAGCACACTATGTGTTTAGTCATATAGTTATTTAGTTAAAATTGTGTTGTATTTGTAAAAGTTTGGACAAATAAGAGATAAGAGATAAGAGATTAGAGATAATGATGATAAAAATATAAACATACTTTGAAATAATAGTTGGACAAATGGAATTTTTCGATAGCAGCCGTTTGGGAAAATTCGGTCGTCTTGGTAAATATAATCCTATTTAGGTCACTTTATTCATTTGAAAAGTCACATTAAAAAAGAAATCTAAACTTTATTAAGAAAAAATAACCATTTGGGCCGACGTTAAAGTAATGATAACTATAGTTTATTTAGCGTCCAGGTGATTCTGGTTTTTCCGTTGCTAAGCAAGTTATCAATCGTTATTAAGCGCAATACCTATAATCGGATTATCTAAACTAACAACAATACAATTTATTCTCAATCGAAAAAATACAAAATAATTTTAAATTAAGTATTTATGTTAGTGAAAAACTTGGATATCATGAGAGTTTTGTAATAATTGAGGTAAAAGAATTTAACTCACTACGATAATTTCTATATTATGATCGAATTAACTATGATAAATTCGTGTTGTTTTTTTGTTAAATAAGAATTATTTTTTGTTTACTTGTATAGCTTGTTTGAAATAATATTTTGTAATTATAGTTGAATACTATTTCATTTAGAATTTCGTCTTTATTGTAGTATCTACTATACCTAATACATATTACAAGCAACTTTGGGCTTTTAAAACTACTATCGGATTACAAGAGACTTCAAACTTTAATCAATATATACCGTATGAAATGAGACGAATATTATTATGTCAATGATACTGTAAATAAAATGAATTAACACAACAGTAGTTTTTTAAATTAAATTTTAATTTTGACTGAATACCTTAAATCAAACATTATTGTTTACAATACACCATTGTAATAATTTAAAACTATGCGAATAAATTATGAAATGGAAGCTGATCAAAGTTTTCTTTATTATTGTATGCGGCCAAATTTTCAGCTATAAAATTGACACAGTCATTGTCGCTTATGTATGCTTGTAACTTGTTTTGAATATCTGACCACGGACATTCTGTACAGGACGAACCGTTTACTAAAGGTATGCTTGTGATATGTTCGTTGACATAAAACGCTACTATATATTCATCATTAGCGTTTATGAAAAGCACAGCCATAAAATTTGCAGCCCACGGACTGAATTTGGAAGTTACCCATTTACGATTTTTCATTTCAATAAAGTTCGATGCCGTGAGTGGACTATCGTCTTTGCCCACGTCCAATATTTGGTATAAGTTCACAATGTTACTCCTGTGTGCAAACTGAAATACAGCATTGGGTCCATCTTTTTTATTTATTTTCTCTCTGAAATCATAAAAATTACAATAGCTAGAACAAGTAATAAACCAAGCACAGAAACATAATACTAAAATGAAGTCCATTATCTAAAAAAGTCTATACACAGTGATATTATCTTTTTAAGCTTTAATGATTCCTATAGACCTGTAGCCTCCCCAGTCCTTACTATGCCCAGGCCCAATTGTGCTGACTTTAATTCAAATAACGTTACTTGAAATTACTGGGGTTATAAGCCAAAAGCTGATGCGTGCAAAATGTATAGTTAAAGGAGAGTAATTTAAACATTTTAGATTACTATACGAAATACATTTTTCATCATATGAATAACCGTTTTGTATTACAAGTTATACTTTTATATATTTCATGGGCCATACAAAAATTAAATAACAAACTTAAGTGACACATCATATTTATACTACGAATTATGTTTCTTCCATGAAACATATTTTGATTTTAACACATTTTCGAATATCTTATTTGATGTTAAATAAACAAATACCATATATTGACATACTACAATATACTCCTTCAACTGAGCATTGAGCAATACTTGCCATGAACCTCAAACTGCATTTTTTACACATACCATACTTCGGCCCTTAACCGCAGAATTGTTCGAATAAAATATTATTCAGATAAATATTGCCAAACTGGTTGTATCACTAGTATTTAATTTAATTTAATTTATCTCTGTTAAATAAATTCATAATACTCCAAAGTCTGCAGAAGTCTTAGGGCCATTGGACATGCGACTTTTAGGTTGTGCGGGTTTCCGTATCCATAGCGAGAGTCCCAATACAATTCATCAAAGTATTCTATAACCTGCGATCATTTAAAAATTGTAAAAAATGTTAAATCTATATACAATAAGACCCCAAACGCTATTGCGTACTTCTAAGTCTTCTTGACAGAATACACTACACCAAGGGGGAATCGATTCGTCATCAAATGCTCTTTCGTAGCGACATACTTCATACATAATCATAACTTCATCTAATAGATACACAAATTAGTTACAGTCCATATTGTCTATTAACTTGACTTACGATAAGTAATATCATCTGATCCCATTTTCACATTTACTCTTTCAACAACCTTTTTCATAAAATCGCCCTTTTTGAATTTTTTACTTTCATACTCAACCCCTTCAGCAAGAGGCTCCGCTGGTATAGTATTCTTAATCTAAATCAACATTAATATTCATGTAAAAGCAATGTAAATATCTATAATTCAATATAGTCACCGTTAAAAAGAAGTCATCGTTATTACATTTGGGAAGGTCGGTAATACTTGAGTCACCGTAAACAGTTTGTAGAAATATTGTTCCAGATTCCCTACAACGTTCTTCGTCTATTGTCAATGCCTAAAATTTTAAGCCCATATAATGTCTAGGTGTTCAACTGTATTGTAAATTATTGTAATAGTGCTGTTGAATGTACCACATAGTTATTCGACTGTTCAAATAAATCTGAGAATGCATTCCGAACTCTCAGTGCCAATTCCTTTATTTCAACACGACCTTTTTGGATCAAATCTTTATCGTTTGGCTTGAATTCAATACTTGGTTGCCAATCCTTAATAGCTTGAATGTCCAATCGGGTCATTTTAGCTGTTTGGGTGATTTTTCCTTTTAAATTCTCAACCTGTGGTAACAGTTTATTATAAAAATACTGCGTTGAAGATGTCGTTCCATGTCTGTTTAACGTAAATATCTGAATTGGTTTATGATCTACAAAACAAAAAAAACGTCTTTTATATTTAGGTAACAGAGACTCGTCAAGCTATCATCAAGATAAATGAGGTTTAATAAGCTATTAAAACGTAGTTATAAAGAAAATTATAAATTAACAAAAACTCTTGTATGATAGCATCTATTTGTATGTATGAAAGATTTGTAAGTTGATATTGAAATATCGTTTCTACTTTAAATTGTATCCCCAAAGTATGTATGAAAATTAAGCAATAAGAATGGTAAGATTACTTACTAGGCGGTACAAAGATTTCTTTTGCGGAAACCAATTTATATGCGGTTTTCGTGCCAAAATACCAGTATGGTTTTGAATCTTTTAAGTTTTTTACGGTATTAGTAGCTACCAATTCGACACAGTCATTGTCGGTTATAAAAGCTGTTAACTTGTCATGAATATCCGACCACGGACAGTATGTACACGACAAATCGTTTTTTAACTTTATAGGAGTTAGTTTTTCGTTTAAATAAAATGCTACGTTATAATCTTTCCGAGTGTCGTCTTCGTAAAGCACAACAATAACATTTGCAGCCCATGGACCGAACCACGAAGTTCTCCACTTAAGGTCCTTCATACCCTTGTAGTTGGACTGCCTAAATGGAATGTCACCGTCACCTATGCCTAACATGACATACAAAGTAAATATATTAGTACTGTGTCCGAAGTAAAATACAGCATCCGGTCCTTGTCCATTGATTTTATTTCTGAAATCATATAATTGTTACAGCTATACATCAATTCATCGACAAATTTTAAATATTATATATTAGGATGGCCTTTACTATTGGTTTCACTTTAAACACTTACACTATTTAGGTTCCAAATGAGTTAAACGTATATTAATCTGTATTACCGGGGATTTTTATTTGAATCGTTTCACCTACCAGAAATGCTGAAAGCTTTTTTTAGTACATCTATTACAAGTATATACTTTTTTTATCATGGCATATCAATTTTTTATAAGATATTAATGACAGGAACGATAACTTATTTAATATAATTGTAAAATATGGACTTATATCAATAGAATGCCTTTCCCGTTTATAATTATCAACTGAATTCTAAAAAAAAGGTAAAAACAATACTAAGTAGATTTTGTAAAATAAGTTTGATCATCTATAAATTGATATCTCCAGCTTTCTTAACTTTAAAAAATAAATTGAATTATGAAATTAATGGTAATTATTGCTTAAGGCCATAACTGCAGTTCAAAAAATTGGAGTATATCTATTTTACTTATTTAAAATACGCAGGGTTGCAGCACGAAACTTATTCTCCCAGAATAAACTATAAAAGCACCACTGTAACATACATAGAATTGAAAATTCCAAATACCTTAGTCTTTTTTCGATACGTATAGCTATCGGACAAGCGAGTTTTGCGTTAAAAGGATCTCCAAAACTATTATAATAGAATCGATAAATGTCATGGGCGTACTCAAAAATCTAAAACCATACAAAACTATCAAATTCCATCCCTTCATGAAACTTCACTGTTTTATTATATTTGCTTACCTCAAGATCTTCTTGGCAGAATACATTATACCAAGGCGACATCACACTGTCGTCGATAGACAATTCGAAGGTAGCCACCTCGTACATGAAGTATAAGATCTCTAAAACAAATAAAATAGTTTAAAACCATTAATACGATGTTGCTATTGGCTATCAACTAGTTTACCGTAATTAAGCTCTGTGGAATCTATGCCCATTTTAACAGCAACCCTTTGCACGACATCATCCATGTATTTGCCTTCCTTAAATTCTTTAACTAAACCTTCAGTATTTGCTCGTATTTCTTTGCATTTTGGATCGAGCAACTTCAAATCATCCACCTGTTAACAATTTGTAAAATATTTACCTACATTCATAGTAAAGGAAACAGCGCAATTTTCAAACATACTTGTAGAAGGATATCCGTAGGGTCACAAACAGGAATTTTGGGAATAGTTTTATCTTTAAAAACGTTTTCTATAAATGTTTGACCCGAAAGTTCGCACCGTGAATCCGGAGCGGATAAAATCTAAGATGATCAAAAACATTTTTAAATATTTGTACAATATTTTTATAGAGTTGTATAAATTTCACGGCACAGTAATTTTTTCTATGAAATGGTAAGTTTTAGCTAAAAAAAATTTTCTAATAAAATCCTCATTTTATTAAACGTTCGAGTTTAACAACCAAATTAAAAATATATTTATTATTTCAAAAGCTAATACTAAGAGGTGTTTTTTTAAAGTAAAAAATTATAATATATTTACCTGATAGAATGAATGGTCAAAAACTAGTTTTAGATAAATACTTGCCGCTTTATGATTATTATATTTTACACAAAATTAAATATAATATTTTGTTATTATACCAGATTGGAGTTTAATTAAAACAGCTAGCCTAATTATTTTACCGTAATATGAAACTTGCACAACTTTTTATGTTACAATATGTGTTTGTTGATCAAGGAACAATGATATATACATCATAATTTTCGGAGTTGTACTGCTGTTTAAATAGGTTTGGAAAAGCGTCACGGATTCTTATTGCCAGATCTTTTATTTCATCGTGACCTTTTTGTGTCATACTTTTATCGCCAGTGGTGTCAATGATTGTCACCCAATTTTTTAGGGCTTCCATATCTTCTGGACGCAACGTAGCACGTTTGGTAATTTTGTTTCGATATTCTATCAGTTTTGGTATCGCATTGTTGGAAAAGTCGAACCTTGGACCTCTAGTTCCATGCCTCCCCAACATAACAATTTGACGTGGCGTATAACCTACAAAATAGGATTAGTGTAATTTGAAATGGTATAAATATTGGAGAACTAAAGTTAAGTCATTGAAATTCACTCACACCACATTCTCTTTCCGTCAAATCACCTGTCATTCAGAAGCTATAAACGGAATATACCAACCACAACACTCAACATTTCTTAGGAATGATACTTGACTAAACGTCTGGATCCCATGTTAAAATGTATTTCTAATTTATTAACCTCAGTTACTTAAAAATATTGACATTTACATGTCTTAGCTCTGGCACATAACCGAAAAAAACGTAACAAAAAAACAAATGGGGAAGAAGATGAGGTTTGGGGTGGGAATGGGGTATAATCATAAAAAACTACTAATTTCTAACCTCCAAAAAAGCCACATCCCTATATCCTTCCTAGTCATCTAAGACGAAATTGGAGCAAAGATCTCTGCAATTACTTTACTAAATTCATAATCTATAAGTATAGTTCCACTGGGTAAATATACGAATTGTTCAAATTGCAACACATATCATAATGTGTATATCAAAAATAATTTTAAAAAGTTTTTCAGCCGAGTCTGCAACCACGAAAGAGCATTTTCATGTCTCGTTGAAGTACCGAATAAATTTAGAGTAGTGGTTGAATTATAGATAATAAAATAGTATATTAACAAGCTAGTATCTAAGGTGGCTAGTAAACATATCAAGTTTCTGGCTTTTATTTTAGTGATTTCATAATATCTGGCCTTAAACAATTCATAGGAAATGTGACCTGTTAAATTATATAGAACTTGTTTTTCAGTTATAATTTTATCGTTGTGAATACAACATAATATCTCTCACCCCTATCTCCTACCCCTATCTCTTACCTCCTATCTCCTACCTCTATCTTCCACTCCAACCCCATCTTCATCCCCATTCCCACCCCATATCTCCTACCCCTATCTTCTACCCCAACCCCATCTCCGTGTGGTCACGTTTTTTTCGGTTACGTGCCAGAGCTAAGACATGAAAATGTCAAAAAACATATTGTATTTAAATTTAGACGCAATGCCGTAACAATATTGACCTTATGGAAACTATTGTTTGGTGTGTGTTTTTCTAAAAATGGGTTGAAAAAATTTGAATATGGCCATTATGGGGTTTAGGTAACATTTATTATAGGTTAAGATGTAAATTATTCACTTAAAATGATCTAAAATTAACGCTGAATGTTTTATCAGTGAATATGTCGAGGCACCTATAGATAACCACTAGTCCTGGCTAAGCGCACAACATCATATTTATATCAGTATAATGGGCACAGACACAAAATAAAGCGAATAAAAGCTCTTTAATCTTACACTTCAAATGAGAAAAAAAAAAGTCGAGTACTCAAAAAAAAAAGCTGATAAAATACGTCTTACCATCTCGTATTTCAATTTTCTGCTCTGAAACTAAGTTGTATGGAGTTTTTGACCCGAAATACCCGTACGGTATAGTCTTTATATCGTTGGCTTTAACCGTTTCTAGAAATAAAGCTACTGTACACAGATACTTCAACATTGTATTGATTGCTATGTTCTGTGTAAAACATATTTAATTCAAAATATTAACTGAAATGTATAGATGTATACATACATACAGGGTGTTACATAGTTTAACGCATAACGCATATGTATATATTTATCAAATGGAATTTATGTAAACTAAAACAAATTTTAAGTCAGTTGGTGCACTCCGTATTAAGTGTTATTCAGTATTTTTGGTATACTGTTAGTCTTTGAACACATGTATACTATACAAAATTTAAAAACAAAAAACAACCTTTCCGTTTTGATAAAAACAATTCTAAATTTAAAATGTAAAAATATACTCACTTATAATAAATTGTTAATTACTAGTAATTTAGACATAGTCAAAAATAGTATTTAAAATCGTTTAATTATTAAGTTATTGTGATAATTTGGAAAAAAACTTTTTAAAATTAAATATGTAAATATGTGAAGATTTTAAACATAGATTCAATTCGGACTAAGCCAAAAAATGTATTTTAAATCGATATCATTTTTAACAGTTTGTATTTGTAAAAAGTTTGGGCATAAATTTGATTTGGACATTGCTAAAATATTTTTCAAATTTACATAGCTATTAGGTATTTATGTTTGTGAAAAATTTGGATATTTTAAGAGCTTTGTAATAATTAAGGCAAATTAATTTTCAAAAGTTTCATATCTTAATATTTAACAAGAACATTTTCGAGGAGATAATTGTTATTTGTTAGTTTATTGAAAAATACATATTATAATTATTGCATGATTGATCTTACCAGTGAATTATATCCCCTACGTTTGAAAACGACAAAATATTATCAATATATGAATGTTCTTCTTAAAAAGCAGTGTAAAATAACGGTTCTTTTTTTTTGGTTAAGCTAGAAATGTTGTTTGTATTTGTATTGTTAGTGTTTATCGAAATATGTTTTTAAAATGTTTGTGCGCGATATACAAAAAAAAAAGTAGGATATAAATGTGTTACTATTGAAACAAAAAAAGTTATATCAATTTTAAAAATGTCTATTGCCTTGTGTACCACACTGTGTTGTTTATCGAATTCTTGCCTAAGCGTTAACTAGAAAACACAATTGGTTTACTATAGAAAAATACTTGTTTGTTGGGCGTTTCGGTAAAAACACAATTTTTGTCGAAAAATAATTACAGACATTTTTTATAAAACATTTTTTGCACGTTCAAAAGGCTGTAAACATTTTTTAGATACCCTAGATACTGAACTGGCTTTACAATAAATAATGTGCATCTAACACCGACTAATACAGGGTGTTTAAAACCTTATGGCCCACCTGACTTGTTGACGATTTTCTTAAATTATGGAAAAACGACCTATGTGATTTATGCAAATATTTTATTGTAAAGGTTTAAAATTATCCTATAGGCCTTACTGACTTGCATTTTTCTTCTTTACATACATACATGTATAAATTATAATTATCATTATACTAGAATTTAAAATGAATTCTTCTTCTCTCCACCTACTCTCTCGCTGTGTTCAATTGTTGTTCCTTGTGAGATTTCAGTAAGATCTGAATTCACTCTTTCTGCCCATCTTTGTCTCGGTCGACCAAAATTTTGTTTGCTATACCTTCAGACCTCCAAATATGACCAGCCCATTCTAATCTTTTACTTTTTAAATACGCACTGATAATGGGTTTATGAAATATTTGGTAAATTTCTTGGTTTGTTCGTTTTCTCTAAACTCCGTTCTCAATGAAAGGGCCATAAATTCTTTTCACCATCTCCCTTATTTACCGACCATGTTTCACATCCATACGTCAACACCGGCCGTAGAAAGCTGAAGTATAAATATTCTTATTATACCTAATTAACTATTAATGCAATAATAATTTTAATAAATATAATTTGAGTAGGAACATTTTTTCAATCGTACAGCACGAGGAGTAAGTTAAACGATAAAACCCGCATGCAGTGTTATTTTGTATATTTTAGAGTAAAAATTAATTCTGTGGTACTAAAATATAATTATTTTTTAAGTAATTACCTATCCTCTTTAGAATATAAGTTACCATAAAAGTTGATGTTTGAACACATTCAGTCTGGTGTAGTGCTTAAATGGGTGCCATTAGTAATAATATAAATTGTGATTTTCTCGCAAGAAAATAATGGTTCAGCATCAAAAGAGTTGTAAATGGGCACAGACATAAAAGAGCGTATATAAACACATACACTTCAAATGAGAAAAAAAAGTCAAGTACTTATAAAGAGCTGATAAAATATGTCTTACCATCTGGTATTTTAATCTTCGATGTTGAAACTGTCTTGTATGTAGTTCTCGACCCAAACAATGCATACGGAATAACCATTTCGTCGTTGGCTTTAACCGTTACCAAAAATAAATATACTATACACAGGAATTTCAACATTGTATCAATTGCTGTATTCTGTGTAAAATATATTTAAAATATTAACTGTATATATATATATATATAGCTATAACATAAATACTACTAATATTATACAATTATAAAGTCTTTGAAATATATTATGGCGGTAAGTAACATTATTTTTGATAAGAAATTAGTGGCAACCGATTGATATGACATAATAGGTCAGTGTTTTTCAATTTTAGTTTCCCAACGACTTGGTCTGTCAAAACTCCTGCACTATTTTTAAGGCAAGAATAATATTAATGAATACTTTTCCAACATATTTATACACACTTTTGTAGTTTAGTTTATCAATAATCGATAAAGTAGTCATTTGAAAATGATTGGTCTCTAAGGGTAGGTTATGTCTGTGGTTTTTGATTCCTGGAACGTTTTTAACTAACAACTTGTGTTTCTGTCAATAAATAAATGTATTGGGTTTTCAATAAATAAATGTATTAAACGTGACGGGTCTCGGTAAGTAATGTTTATCGAATTTCCAATAATTTTTTTTAAACAACCAAATATTTTGTACAAAAACAAAATAAGATCCTGATAGTTGTGAATTTAGTTAAACTCAAAAGTAAAATAAAAAACATGTTCTAGTCAAACAGTCTACACAAGTAACGTTTTTAATGGTTTTTTATTTTTTTTTGAACATTCAATATAATAAAAATGTAGTTTAAATAAAAACAATATTATTTCACCGGAAAAAAATACTTATCCGTTTTTGAAAGCTGTTGTTAACCGATTTGGGTGTGTTATTCGATTGAAACAATAATAATAGTAGATTATTTAATTAATTTTGTTGTAGAATTTTATTCAAACAACATTAAATTGTGATTTTAACACATACATTTTGCATACTATTTTGCTTTATTTAACGATAACTCACGTTTGGCACTAATTAAGTAAATTTAAGTATAGTTTTATTTTGTAACACATTAACGGCTTAACAAAGTTTGTAACCAAATATATATATATATATAGTAAATGTTTTAGTATACAGTTTAGCCGAAAAGTCCAGTCAACACTCCGAGCAATTTAATTATGTCTGAATTACGAGGTATCTTAAAAATGTGTGGTCTACTCTTGCTATTATTATTTTTTTTTATATACAAATATTTACGTGAATAAGAAATCTAAACAATCTTATAAAAACAAAAAACATTTATTTTGTTTGGTAAATATTGTGTAATTATACCAATAAAAACGAACAAAATATTAATTACTAAACAGAGTTTTGTTACATTTCTCAATGTTTTTTATCATAGAACCTCCTAAAATTTGTATGTCTTCGATGATTGCGTCCAAGTTTAATTCCACTTTTTTGCCGTTCAAAGTGTGAGTTAGTTTTTTTCCATTAACGTTGCCGACCTGTAAAAATATGAATAAAATTAAAACACAAACGTTATCTTGTAACGTAATCACATGAAACACGTACCTTGAATTCAGAAACAGTAAAAGAGTCTGGTTTGAAAACTATTCCGATCGTACTCCCTCCGTAAGTGTCGTGGAAAAACAATGCGTAATCCGAATAACTGTCCTATAGACAAAGTTAATCAAATTAAACAATTATTAACGATAATCAACACGCGCGGCGTGTTATTTTTTAGTCAAATCGAAAAAACCCGTACCCTGAGAACATTTAAAAGTTCTTCGATGGGATTGAATCCGGTTAGTGGTATCGGTTCGTTTTCTTTGGGTGGTTCCGCAGCGTAGACTCTGGCTAACTTAGCGTCGACGGCCATGTGTCTCAAAGGGTTCATGATATTTTTCAATACTACCAAAACATCATACTCGTTCAACGACGGCCTGAATATTTGCTGTAACAGAAATGTTATCGTAAACTATCATTATTCTCAATCGTCAGTTCTCAAGTACTCATTGTTACGTCGGTTTATAACAATAGCGTAAGTTCTCGACTTACATTTATACTGAAAATCATTTACAAAGACCTATTGTAATGTTTATGAGAGCACTTGGAAACAAGGGTACCTATCGTGGAAGGTTTGCCGTTCAGAATAAGTCGGAGCATTGGCGTTTGGAGGCAACAGGTCTCATAATGTTATATGAATTCCCGGCAAAGCATATAGCTTAGGTAGTTAAAGATTTCAAACCCTAATAAAATAAAAATATACTAATCTACAAAGCTAAAAGGCTACTATAATCATTGAGGGACTATTTTTTAATTTTTTATATGGGTAAACATTTATTATCATCAAAACTCTTACACAGACATGAAATAAAACAACAATTTTAATTTTTCCTATATTGTTCTCACCTAAATTCAAATATTAGTTGTTTTTGTTAAATTTTAAAAGAATATACATTACTGGTTCAATCGATCATAATGTCGTCTTAGTTTGCATGAGTTCGCTTGACTCACTTTCGAACTCGAAATACATTTATTAAATTACGATAATTTATTTTTATTTATTAATAGGTAGTTCGACTTTTATAAAGAGGTTATTTATATAATTTTTTAAATAGTTGCTCAACCATGATGTTGCAGACATTTTAAAGAATCATTTAAAAATTTTCATAAAACAGTTTTGTCGTCAATATAAAAACTCACTTTAAAATGATCGACCGTGCCGTTTGTTAAAAAACTATTTTCTACGATTTCTAATGACTTTTTAGACAAATGCATCAATCTCGCTAATATCGTTAGCGTGGGGGCCTCTTTGGTCCACGATGTTCCTTCTAAATCGAACGGCGTAACCAACAACATGGCCGGTCTCGAGCTGCTCGGTTGCGCTGCTACGGAACATTCCAGTGCGGAAATCTGCTCCTCTAAAATAACAAAACAGAACCCATTAAATGTTTAATAGATTATTTTTATTTTTACCTTATTTAATAGTAAATATAATTACTTGAAATTTCGCCATTGAAATTGACGACAACAAATTCCCTAAACCAATCGGTCGTAGCCAACTTGCGCAAAAAATGCAACAGTCCTATTGTCGGTTGATTTGTTATTTTGAAGGGTTCGGGCCGCAAATAGAAACTGGCCACAAGTAGTTCGACACATATGTCGGGAAAATGGTAACTGTCTATAAGTTGGCTCCTAAGCCATCGTTTGGCCAAGCAACAAGTTGGCCCGAACGAATGATACTGCGAATGGAGTCTGACAACAGAAAGTAGTCGGGTAAAATAATATTTTCATCGGTTTATACACTCGGCAGTAACGTTTCGTACTTACCCGTGCAATGAACTCGTCAACGTCGGTAGCTGTACCATTGACCGTTCTAGTTGTACAGATTCTTCAGTGTCCCTATAGCGAACCATACCGTCGGGCATTGTTTCTTTTTTCAACAATGCCACTTCTCCGGGGTAGTATATTCGAAAACGGAAAACAAAACCATTCTGAGAAAAATAATAATACCGTTAACAAAGTTACTCAAGTACATTATTTTATTTTAAATAAAGTTATTAAAAAAAAAAAAAATGGTTAAGTATTGAATTTTATTAATGCCCAAATCGTGTCGCTTACTTTCATCACGTCGACGTAGTCAATAAACGGTTGGGCAACTAAATTACATTCCTGATTTAATCGAGCGGCCAAGTTGATGTAAAACGCCGTTTTCATTCTTCTGACAGCCGGCAGTTCGTTGGGCCACTTTCCACTCGATGCAAATTGCAATATTCCTGGAATGAAAAAATTACATTGTTCCGCTATTTACAAAATTGATAAGAGACATCGTACCTTCAATGGGTTGCACAAATCCTGGAGCTATTTTCAATTCGTCATCGGTAGAAGCCAAAACACATTTCCCTTTCGTTTTCTTGGTTTTTTTGTCATCCGCGTGACTTCTGGACAACGGTGGTATGACATCGGCGTACCTTAACACGGCCGATACTCCTTGCACCGAATTAACGATCAACGGTAACCCTTCGAGTTCTCTAATAGCTTTGCCCACTTCGTTGAAATTGTCGATACAATGCATGCTCGCACTTTCTCCGGTTCCGTATTCAAAACCAATCGGTGTGATCTATAATACGTTCAAACACGACGTTATGTCAGAAATTATAACACAATATTATAGAAACAGTTTTCTCGACTTACAAAAGGATTGTTAAGAACAGTTTCGGCCTGATCGGCGATATAGATAAATCGCTCTGCAGGAATAGACAATTTATTCTGTAACACATATTGAACTATTTCTCTCGTAATACAACGTTTCTTGTTCGAAGCGACATTGCTATCGGACCAGACGACTGCCTCGCACACTTCTCCGTCTTTGAAACGTCTCAGTTCAGATTTCTCGCCCCAAAACGAACGGAATTCTTTGGCCTTGAATAATTAAAAAAAAAAAATAATAATAATCAATAAGTAAAACTTTTTTTTAATGTGACACTTAAATATATTTTTTGTCACTTCACCTCGGGCAAATTAGCCGTAGGACCGCGTTCGACGACACTGAATGCTTTTCCAGGATTCAGGCGTAGGCCGATTAGAAAATTACTAAAGGGTTTTAAAATTGTACCGACGTCGGCCGGATCCTGAATTATGTCAAAACAAATTTCGTCGACTCTATCGCCCAGACTTGACAACAGTAAAGGTTCGATTATCTGCTGAAACTGAAACGTTAAATCCTGTCTAGAATCCAATTTGAGTTTTTTGTCTCCATACTTGTCGATAGTTTGTTTCACTACGTCAATGTCGTTGAAACTGAAACGTAAATAAACACGATTTTAAAATATACAAGTTCACGTACTGAATGTCACTTACAAAGCATCACAATACAATTTATCGTATCGAAGCATATTAAGTAAAATTATGAAAAAAAACTGCATAGGACTTAACAAAAAATTAACTAATAAGAAATTAACACATAAAACTTATAATGTTAATTTTTTTTAATTCATCTCGAGAACTGTTAAAGACAAAAAAAAAATCAAGGAAGCCGGTCTAGTTGCGCCACTGCAATGAACGATGAAAAATTGTATGGTGATGCCCATCAATAATCTGATATCAATATTACTTGATGTAATGGTCGAATCGTTGAAAAAAAGAAGCTTTCGTTAAGAACAAATACGGAAAAGAATTCATATTAGCATTGTCCAACATTTCCACTGCGTAGTTGCATTCGTTTTTTATCTGTAAAACGAAAAAAATATATATATAAAATAATAAAATTACTTTTTTTTTAAATTTAATAAAAAAATAGCACTAACATAAATGTAGTTGGATTTAAAAACATTTGCACACAAGTTCATGAAGCCAGTAGAGTCTACAAAAACCACTTGAAACGCAGCATGAAATTCCGACAATGAAGGTTTTTTCACATCTTTACTGCTTTCATCGTCCTCTGTTAGCTGTATACCTTCGGTGTGCCAGTTGCTTTGACCTAATAATGAATAGTAATTATTTTGAAATAATAAAAATGACCAGGTACTTTTTTTAAGACTTGTAGTTATTGTTATGCAAATAAATGAGACTATACGTAGTATGGCACGGCAACATTTCAGATTCAATTGTCCAATAAACAATAGAAAAGAAAAATAGGACGCCTGATAAAGTAAATTCAGGTGTCCGCAGGTGTAAAGAACATAAGCAACACTTTTTCCGAAATACACTTTTTTACATTTTTATATAGGCGACATTAGAGCACGTTACTTTTATTTTACTCATAAGCAATATCTGCTTAACGTCGTTTTGACCTTAAGCCGTTAATATGTTCGCAAATAGTTTTATCAATATATTTAATAATTACCTAAACACAACCAAACGTTTCGCACAATTTGATAACTGCTCATGAACTTATTTATTTTGTGTTTCTTAAACAAATGCACGACAAACATTGAAATTATATAATTTGTAATATTTCCATTTCCCTGTAACATAAAATTACTTTTAATCGATAACGACAACAACATTTTATTTAATTAGCTTATAAAAAATACAAACTCTAAGGTTTCTTTGCGCAAGCCATATCTTTAACAATATCAATGCGTCTTGAACATTTTGGTTCGACTCGATAACATCTTTCAGCAATGCTTCATTTTGGTCTGCTACTAAATCTTGTAGAACGAGGTTGTTGTAACGAGGTGTAGGGCAGTTGTTTAATTCTATAAATGCAATTATTTATGTTACCATACAAAACAATCAACAATAATATTTTGTAAATTTAACTCACCGTTTTCTTCACCGAAATACCATTGAGTATCAATGTTGTTAATAGTAGGTGAAAATGTTTGCAGTTTGTAGACATTGTTTTCGGGTACGACCCTTAAATGAATACTACACTTTTTACCTAACGTTCCCGCCGGTTTTACAACGAGCACTGGTGAATAATATGAAGACGTAGAATGTGAAAATTTGACATCGTCGTTGTTTATTAAGTCTGGAATTTTAACAAGTTCTTTGGAAAGACAATGTAAATAGAATGCTTTCTTGCGAAAATACCTTTCGTCTGCATAATCTTTCTTGTGGAAAAGTGTCTAAAAGCACAACATTACTTTATTGTTATATGAACAAACATAAAAATTAACATTGGCTACGAATAATAGTTTATGTAAAATTAAAATATAAAACAATTTACTAACTTTTCCTAAAACTAGTGCTATGTCAATTTTTATATTTGGTGTAAGTGACGTTCCTACAGAGTGTGAACCGAAAACCTTCAAAGCCGCAGGTTTAATAAAGCGAAATGTTCCGTCAGAGTGATTTAAAGGTTCCAAACGAAAAGGTGCCCATAATTTGGATACATCCACATTTGACATGAGTTCCTGTTAAAATTAAAATAATTATAAGAATTATTAAGAAACTATAAGAAAATATATAACCAAGAAAGTATTATATAGAACTGAAAGTAGCTGTGATGGATAGGGACGAGTGGAGGTGACAAGATTCCTGGTCAACATGTGCTGGTATCCATTAACCTGTCGGAGGTATCATGATTGGTATCGTGTTGGTGTTATGCTAACATTGTCGTTTTATTTTCTGTGAATTATTAAATTTAAGAGTAGTGAAAAAAAATAATAAAAGAGTTTATCTGGTTACACCATACAAAAGTTGGATTACTTATAGACTATTTCTGTTTAACGTTAGCGAAACGCTAACATTGATACCAACGACGGGTTATGGGAGTACCTACTGTCGAAGATACGAATGGAACAGTCCAAGAGACTGCCTGTGCTATTAGGGATGTACTTGCCTTTTGATAATCGGAGTTGTCCAAGTCTTTTAAGACAGCTGTCTCGAATTTAGCAAACCATTCTTTGATTTTACCAAGAGTCGCTGTCTTGGGCTTGACTTCCTTGAGCATCTCTTCGATTTGCATACGGAACATGTTGGACAGAAACAAGTTTTCCGTTTCCCTAAGTTTGTTCAACTCCTCCGCCGTTGGCGGTTTTATCCTCTTGTTTTCTTCCGACACTCGTTTCCTCTTCCTTTTCCTGCCGCCTCCGTCCTCGGCCGATTCTTGCACGGCGTCGGTCATGGCCACGGCGTCGTCGAGTTCTAACGTCATAATCGGTGAATACACTAATATGAAAAAAAAACACACACACACACCGACTGAATTACTGTTTAATAACGATGAATTTTATTCCAAGTCCAATACACGGCAGTGATTAGATGTACAAAAAAATTCAACACGCTCTATACGAGCCGCTCACGTGCTAGTGTTTACAGTACGGCCAAAGCGGACTGATAAGAACTCCGGCGGCGCTCGCGATAGCGGCGAGTCTCGGACAGTGCCGCCAACCGGTTTCCAACCTCTTTGGGTGGCGGACCGCACGGGGCCAGACTGCAGCGGCCTCTGACACTGCGGCCCGCGCCTCCCCGTACTCCGACCGCGTTATCACCATCGGCCATCTCGAGGAAAATATATTATCGCGTTGAATTTTCTACGATTTTGTTTTTTTTTTGTTTTTAATAAGCGTCCGCGTTCGCCAACAGGTAGACGTCGTTATCGCGCGATCGTTTTCCGTCGCATCCGCCGTCGCTACTGGTGTACTAATATTTCGGTAGTTGTTTCTCGTTGTTATTATTATTTTTATTTAACACACGGTTCGTAATATTGTATTTTTTTGCCGTTCGGAAATGCAATAATAATAATAATAAATTATCATCGTGTACGCGACCGCCCGTACCGTGTACGCCGCGTATAGGTGTAATAAAATATTATAGCGTTACGCCGACGGTTGTAATAATAATATAAACGTCGAGAAGATAACGCTGTGCTATATTGTAAATTGAATTTATTTGTTTTTTTTTTTTGGCGTCGAGATGTGTTCTAGCGCGTTGCCGCGCTACCGCGACAGCTGCTGCTGTATTAGTGCCGTACCGACGTTTTGATTGTTATAATATTTTTTAATTTACCCGGTTTTTCGGTTGTTAATCTCGCGACGAGTTTTGTGTTGTTGTCTAATCGCTCTGGTGTACCTTAAGAAGAATACCTAGTCAGTGGACGTGTGTGTTTGTGCGCGGTTTTTTTTTTGTTTTACAAAAGCTTGCCGCCACGGCGTACAAATGAGGGCAAGTCGTAATGATCAATTATTGCGCAGCGCCGCGGCGTGTGCTCACGTTGTTTTCCGGTAACGCCGCTGCCGTTCTCGCTTGTCGTCGTCCGCCGATAATATTCGATAATACCGCATAGTGTTTTAATAATAATAATAATTATCAAAAGGAATAATATTACAATCCGAAAAACACCGGAGGGCGCAACTGCCGCGCGTCAAAGGGTAGCACGGTCTACCGTAGTAATAATAATTATACAAGTCGGCGAATCCACCTCGCGCCACAACATGGCCAACCCGAGAAAGTTCAGCGAGAAAATCGCCTTGCACAATCAGAAACAAGCCGAAGAAACGGCCGCGTTCGAGAAAATAATGCAAGAAGTATCGGCCGCCACCTGCGTAAAGGTAACGTCATTAATCGTAAGCCCCCGCGTCGCCTTCCGACTAAAACGAGTGCCGTAACTATAAAAACGCTAATAAAACCCATTCGACCACGACAAATAGCAGTGAACGGCGACAAAATTAATGTACCTAGCCGATAAGTCGCTGCGTTGTGTTCTAGAGGTGTGGGCCGGTTTGCATTCTGTTATCTTAAGGGGTGCACCTATACTTACAACTCGTGGACCATAGTTTGATAATTTCCCAAAGAAACAATATTATTGGGGAGCCGGGGTACGTACGATGTCCATATTGTATTTGACTCGACCAGTTACCGAAGTCTGCGTACACCTAGGTATGTCTGGAGAGTGGCGTCACCTGAGAAAAAGACTTGTTATGTTTTCAGCTAACTTTTCACGAATTTTCATCCTCCTGTACCTATACTAAAAAATAAAGCAGTAAGTTAGCATACGTACTTTCTTCAATTTCACTTTTTTATTTATTGTACTTTTTGAAAAATTGACAAAATTCAATATGATTTTCCCAAAACTTTGGATTTTTATAGCTATGGCACTTGGTACCTAATGGGAAGGCAACGCGTAGATCATAACAGAATTGAGCATTCGTGTAATTTTTCACTCCCTCGGTCATCTGTGCCGAGTCTCGTGTACGATTATTAAATGTTTAATGACTACAGTTAGTGGTCTCAGGTAATATAAGTATGGTGATCTACAATAAGGTTTTAACAAACCCTTAGAATTATTAATTTTATTTATTTTTATACCACTTATAGGCTAGAAACGATTATCTGCCTATTATATATATTCGACACTGACTATCTGCCATTACGTATTTCCGTTTTACACGTCTGTTTATACCTAGCCTAAGTATATAAATCTTAAAAATTTAAATACTACACACATTAAGTGAAAATAGCAAATAACTAGGCTTTTTTAAATTGGTATTATCCAAGTTGCTTATTAAAAATAAAATATCTTTGATTGATAAATAAAAAACCTCGGTGCTCTTAAAAAGTGTAATAAAAATTTGTTAAATGAACTTTTGTTCTAAATTGTCTCGATCTTTTATTTTAAGTTATTTGGAGGGCTCAGTGTTCAAGTGAACCGAGTCCATTTTTTTCACATTATGAGGTTTTTCGTGCAAAATACGCGTAAAAGTAATATCTTTCAGTGCCACAGCAAATGAAGTCCTTAGTTCAGCTAAACGGCGAAAAATGCCGACATATATACTACGTTGTACCACAGAGTAGATAATGTGAAAAACAATTTAGCAGCCAATTACTGGAAATCAGCCGTGATGGACTTCTTGGGTCACATGTGCTCTGAACCCTCCATTTATTTGAACATCAATTTGAAAAAAAATTGTATTAAGCCTGATAAAAAACATTGAGCTAAACCGAGTTTAATTTCCTTACAGTTAATTTGTCTGACGTTAAATATTTTATTGTGCTACGCAGCATTTATTATTTTTTTTTTTTTTTTGGACGTAAAATATTGTATGTTTTATTATTGTTTAATAATATTAATGCAACATACTTTGTGTAAATAAAAGTACTTCCAACAAAAAACTGCATATTGTTTACTTAACAAAAAAAAAAAGTCAATCACTCTTAAAGTTGAAAACAGGCTTTCCCTTTGTGTTAAAAGCCATCAATTTCAAATCAGTTCATTAATCAAAACGTATAATTTGTTGATATCGTCGTTTTAATTTGAATTTACTAAAATTACTAAAAACGTGATTGTGAATAGTGTTATAAATCTTAATGACCGCATCGAGCCATAATTTTGCCGGCTTCAAATGCTTATGTATTTTGAAATAATCTAGTACATTGACAACTATATATGATTGTATGATAATATGTTGCAATTATTGTAATCTGTTCAGATTATTTCTCTTGTTGTATACACAGTTGGTTTGACAATTCAGTTATTACATGTGTTAACTTTTTTTTTTTGCATCCACATGTAAAACACAATAGATTGTTTTGAGTATACTTTTAGTAAATGAGATACTTAAATTGTGTAAACTTTATAAATATTACTTTAAGTTTTTAAACAACAAAATTATTATTTTTTTTTTTTAGCAAAAAAATGTTTTTTAAAATATTTATTTCGTTGAGATATATGAAGAGTTCATCAGTTTTGCTTTAACTAAAAACTTAAAATACTAAAAATCTCTATTTGGAACTTTCAGTGACTTAATATTTTCAGTATAGTCGATTGTGATTGGCTCATTGAAAATAATATCTTGCCGGTAATAAAATGTTTAAAAGTTAAAAGTTTAAAAACCTAAACTATTCAAATAGTTTCTATAAAGATATTAATTTTTTCTTAAACATTTTGAATTGGTTATAGTTTGTAAGTATGAGGTTCATTTATTTAATTTACACAACTTGTGTGTACTCCCATACTTACAAATTGATTCGTCTGCCAACGTTTCGGAAGTCTCACATCTTCCAACATGAGGGTTGCGATTGTGGTCCGACACACGGCCTGTTGCTGTCTGAAGGTGGCTTTGACCATTATATAACTTTGAGTACAATAGTTCAGTCCCAATTTATTCATCTTGGTTTATAAGTAGGAAATAAGTGTTTTAGTCACTAAAAGAATTTTTACTTAAGGGCCAGAAGTTTTTAAAACATGTTTTAAGACTTAAAAAAAAAAAACTATTTTACACAAATTTTCCCTAAATTCGATATTTGACAGTAAACTGATTCTAAATAAATCCAAATAAAGGTATAGGTAATAAAAAAAATGTGTTTGTCAATTTTTTTTCCAGAATTGTAAGTATATTACTACTTTATATCTACTTTTTGTTTTTAAAAATGATCGTTTTCATTCAACACTAATTTCGAGTGTATGTAAACAATATTATTTTTTTAAATATAATCTATTTAATAGTATATCTATGAGTAGGTATTAGATTTTATAATTTACTTACAACTGTCTAGTATTTTATATAATACCTATATTATTATCAAATTTGGAACAATATACTTTAGGCATGTAATAATGTTATATAAAAAATTGTATAGGTATGATTTATGAATGGGTGACATAATAGTAGTAACTTCGTAATAAACATGCACGAAAAATATTGATTTTATTTTAATATACTTAACATACTTGACACTAAAGTTGTTGTTTGATAAATTGAATAGGTAATCTAAGACTTAACAAAACCATTGGAGTGTACCTACCCATACTCATTAACTACACGGTTTTCCGTTAAAAATATTAAAACAACTACACATTAAATACAATGGCGGCACGTGTTATTCATAAATTACATTATAAGAAATATGACACAACGAATTTTATTTTACCATATTCAGCACTTAGTTACTATCATAAAAAAATCAAACTCGAGAACTCATTCTTTTGGGCAATGTTTGGGAGTTTCTTACCAAAACAAAATTGCAAAGTAGTTATTATGACACACGTTTTGGCAAATTAATTTTTTCAAACTATAAAATGTTGTAAGTAATTTACTAATGTATGTTTTTATTACGAGGCTTACGAGAAAAAAATACTCGGGCATCACATAGGTTCAATTTCAGTAACTACTTAAAAATTAATCAACTACCTAGGTAGTTCTAATTTGTATCCTATTATTATTGTAAGTAGGTACGCTAAGGACATCTTACTATACACTCTTAAGTTTATCAGATAAACCAAGCAGAGGGGCATAATTTTTTAGTAATTACGCGCTACCAAATTACAAAACAAGACCTTCAGACATAAGCGTTACATAAACATAAAAGAATACTCTAAAAAACATTAAATTGTTTCAAATATCCTGAAAGTATATTATAAAGCCTTCCAGTGCGAAATCGTTTTTATGATGATGTCACTGATTCTAAAGTAGAATCATTTATAAAGTGTAATTTATTAAATTAATACATCGAAGTAGAATTCAAATTTACACTAGGTTACCTAATGATAATAATCTATGAAATCTCCAAAGTCTGATAGTAAACTACTTAAACGGGTTCTTAAGGTGACGCCTTTTTTTTAATTAAAAATTCGCTACCTATAAGAACATTTTCGATAACATTTTGTATGTAGCTTAAATTTTCATAGTTTAAAATAATTACATAACAAAGAGGGTAAACAATAATCAGTGTACAACATTTTTTAAATATCTGGTAGTCTTAACTGATAAGTGATCTTCAAAAATCTCTGGTAATTTTTAATGAAAAAATGTACAGTGTATAAAAATTTGAGATAAAATTTACATCATGGATTTCGACTTCGAAAACTGATTTATAAAAAAAAATACAATTTTCTACTTTTTGCCTTTAATCTGCCCTTAATTTTTTCCAACCGAAAATCGCCTGTGATAAAGTCTTGGTGTTTTAGTTTTGTATAGATGTAACTTTCACAATATATACCTATTCACCTCATAAAAATATCTTAACGACGATAGACTTGTTATTAATCGGCAAGACGAATAACGTCTCGAAATCATTATAAAGCGAGCGTGAACGACCACCAGCTCTTTCCATTTATCTGGAAACTGTCTTTACTGCTGACTATTATAAAGTAACATAAAAGAGCCGTTCCCTATTGCTGCTGTGTAACAACCGAGTTAAAGTCAAATCGTATAGGTCGTCGACCCTCGTCGGCCTAATGGTCAGGATAACTTTACCACAGAGTTCGCCGCTAGGCCGTATTATATAATGTACCATATTATTCATTTAAAATTATAAATAAAAAACAAGATGTTTTTTCCCGTGGAACAACACTAAAAAGAAGGCATTTGTCGCCTTCTACTGTAATATATTATAAATAGCATAATAGGACGGTCGGCACAACGACGGGCGTAAATATTTTATTTTTTATAAATCTGATATCTAGACTGGGCCTGAACAACCAATAGTTTGTTTTTAAAATTATGTGTTTTATTTGTTTTAATTTTGCGTCTAGCTTGATAAGTCAGAAATAGTACCTGAAAGATACTTCGTGTATGTTATATGGCTACATTTATGCAGTTTTCAAATTATT